GGGACACAGGGTCCTCTGTGCCACGCAGAGGCTTTTGAGTTTCATGGGAATTTTATAATTGCAAAATTAGGCTTCACAAGGAGGCATCAGTAAATTCGGAACTGCATGAACTCTTCTTGGTCATTTTCTGAGACACAAATACACTCCCAATTCCAGGCATAAATATCTTCACATCAGGAAAGAGAAGAGCTGCAGAGCAAACACCTACAGGTTAAAGTAACTCAAATATATGGTTTGGGACCACATTCTTCAATTGATGTTGAACCATTAGGATTAATGGTCAAACTCGTGCCTGACCTTGCAGTCAGCTCCCTCTGCCTTCTTCCACCTCTCCATGTCAGCTCTGCCACCCTGTCCCCACCCCAGCAGCCTCCAGGGTCTCCTCTTCCTTCTGCACAAGGGAACCACTTTTGAACCTGTTAGATTGTGTCTCTGTTCTTGTGCATTTCTGTCCATTCCAGAAGCAGCATCTTGGAGCCCTTTCAACCCAAAATGAATTGAACAGTGAATGGCAAAAGTTTTTATGGAATAGGTTCATAGTTATTTTACTTTGGGATAGCTAGTTTGCGTATTTTTGTGAACTGCATTTCAAATTACAAGTGACATGAACAACTTAGGGTTGTTTGTGAATTTACTTCCCACCAGGAGTATATTTAATGTTTTGTTATCTTGACATATAAGCAAATTCTCCATTACTGCTTGGTCTCTAAAACTTGAAAAGAAAGTTCTCTTGGCTGACAGCATTGCTGTAATTCAGAAACTGCGGGACAGGGTGGAAGCTGCTGTAGATTACTTTCATTGATTGTGATCACTGCTTGAATTGGCAGAGGAAGAAGTGTTATGATGATGAGAACTTGTCTTATTGTTGTGATAAGCTGTTACCAAAGTCTAATTACTGTGCGTGATGCTAAAATGTGTAAGCTGCCGACACTTGGAGATAAGGAGATGAAGAGAAACCAACTCGTTCCAAATAGCTCTCTTGGTTGGCTTTTTTTTCTTCATTATTATTTTTATTTTTGTCCACTCTCCTGAGTGGTGCTTTAAGAGTGCATATACTAAGTCATGGGTTTGGCTGCAAAAGCTGCCATCGAACTTCGGTTGTGGTTAAATAAGTATTAAGCACCAAGGGACTGAATAAAATAAGGGTTAGTGAAAGGTGATGACAAGGGATTCAGTTAATGGTATGTGCATCTGCTGAGCAAATGCATTGTTATTAGCTATTAATTCAGTTGCTGTAGGCAGGATTCAAATGGGATTGAGAGGAGGGTAAACTTTGAAGCCCCGTTCCCATAGGAATTAGACATGGGAAAGTGCCATTTATGCCATGCTGGCTGCTTCAGAACTGGCATTTCCACAGAGAAGTGGAGGGTTTCCTGCCGCCTTGTTCAAGAAATCTCCTTTGTCTGGGAGACAGGCTGTTCCTTTCCAGCTTTGAGACATCCTGTTGGGGTCAAGGTCCTCAGAAGTTTTGCTGAGCTTCACCTGAGCTCAGCACCCCGGGGAGTCCTGCCTTAACTACTGTGCTGACTTCAGAAAATGTTTTGGGATCCTCTGGGATGACAGATGCTTGTGTATGCACATGTAACATGCTGTTAATAATTAGAGCTGATTGGATATTCAGTACAAATTACACTGGCTGTGGAGTTAGCCCCTTCTTTAGGCTTACAAGTGGTTCACAAAACACAGTTAAAGCATATTTTTAAATGTATGTGTTTTCGTAAACATTGGCAGATTTAATTTGAATGAATAATGTCAAGTCTGAGTGTTGTAAAACTCTTGCTGGGCTGTTCGCTGTTGTTAATGGGGCACGTTTGGATTTCTGAGTCACAGGGTAAATATTTTCTCTTTCCAATTTCTGGGACGAAACATGAGTTTTGATGATAATTTTAGGTACCAGCCACCCCTAATAGTGTGTCTGCCCCCACACCCAAGCCCATGTGCCACATTTTCAAAAATAACTTCTTAGAGAATAGAAATAGGTCTGACTGCATCCAGCAATTATGAGGGAAAAAATAGTATTTCCATTTTCTCTCATTTTCCATGTCACCTGGAAGCTGGGTTGGAGCATTCTTTTGAAGATTTTCATCATGAGCTGGGTTATTTCCCCAACCTGTTTGTCCTTGTGTGAATCTGAAGGAAGAGCTGTGATTTTTTTTAGAATATTGACTCAGGCTTAATCTGCCTCCTGTGGAGAAAAAAGAAAAGTTCAACCCCAATGGCTGCATTTCCCATAAAACCCACACATGCAGAGCCATGCTCAGTTTCAAATTCATATTTGCTCTTTTCATATGCTCATGTATACTTATAGGGATCCTCTAAAGTAGAACACTGTCTTCATAGAAAATAATTGTTCACTAATCATAGTGTCAACAGCCATGGCTGGTTGAAAAATGACTAGTGTAAGAAAATCTGAAATACTTTGGAAAAGCCTGTTTTTCTGCTGAAGAACAGCTCTCCGTGGACTGTTAGGAACTCCAGCCTTGCTGTTGCTAGAGAAACTGAAGAGGAACAAAATTCAAAAATATAATCATATATTTCTCTGTAATTGGAAGAGGACTGGTAACATCTGTGCTATGTTCTTGTCCAGGGGAAATAAACCCCATGCTATTAACATCCATATAACCCCTTCATTCACTTTCTTGCATCCATCCTAAAGGATTTAACCATTTACAACAGACTGCAAAATAGTGATGTGCACTGCCATAAATAAAAGCTGTTTTCAGGTGTATGGCACACATATGGCTCTCTCTGCTTAGCAGTTTATATCCTAAAAAAACACCTTTTTTTTTTTTTTCCCCTCTGGAAAAACAAAGAAACAACCTAAAAAAAAGACCCCAAAATCCCAGAATAGCATCATTGCTCATGAGAAATGCCAAAGAGGAGAGGTGGGAGCAGGGTTAATTATCCTTTTTGTTTGCCCACCTACCTTTATATTTTCCCTTTGCACTCTCTCTCCCCCATTCCTCCTCGTTTTGGATAAAATACTCCTGCAGTATGTAGAGCATAAGAATTATTTCTCTAGCAGAGACTGCAACCTGCTTGCGGAGCCTCTGTACCCATTAGAGGCTCTTTGCAGAAGAAGTAATTTCCTTCCCCCCATAAATTATGCATCAATGTACATTTAAGATTCTGAAATGATGAACAGAAGATGAAAGCACTGCGGAGCGCTGCTGCTCCTGTGGAGCTGAATCCACGACGTTGTGTACGGGCTGGGACACACCTTGCTAAGGCAAACCTGCACGTGTTGCTGTCCTAGTACTCTGGCTGTAAAAGCACGGAGGGAGGAGCTGCTCCAGCTTCAGCTCTGTGAGAGATACTTCCTCACCTCGTGGGAGACAGTGAGGGGGAAAGATAGCAATGTGTGATGTGTCCTAAGTGGTCTTCCCAGATGGACTCCGCCAGCCTAAGCCAGGGTGATTCCCCCTCCTGGTGGGTCCCGATGATCTTCCTTCCAGGAGGATCTGCTGCAAGATCTTGCCAGGCATAGAGGTGAGACTGACTGGCCTGTGGTTCCCTGGATCCTCCTATATTAAAAAAAAGGGGGTTGTGTTCCTCCTTTTCTAGTCAGTGGGAACTTCACTGGACTGCCACAGCTTCTCAAATAGGATGGAAAGTGACGTAGCAACTTCATCCAGGTTCCCTCAGGACCTGTGGATGCATCTCATCAGGTCCTATGGACTTGTGCACCTTCAGGTTCCTTAAATGGTCTCAAGCACCATCATCTCCCACACTGGCCGAGAAAATATGTACTGAAAAATTGAAAAATAATACTCTCAGGTTATACATAGCCTATGGAGATCGATGAAGAAAGTAAATGAATGTATATGTATATTTTAGAGAAGAGTTTTGCACTGTTCCCACAGCTGAAGCAATAGGGAAGGGCATCTCTTATGTTTTATCACACCAGAGGGTACAGGGATAAGTTTTAAGTCTACCTTGGAATCCAAAGGTGGCAAACAAAAACTATCAATAATTCCTGAAAGGGAAAATTTTGAGGAGTTTTATGCAAAAGGGTTATATATAGCAGAACACTGTTTAAAAAGATGTACCTTGCAATAGGTCTGAATTCCTGTAATACTAAGTGCTGCAGGAATAGATTCCAGACCTGAGGTTCCTGTGGCGTGTTTCAGGGCAAATGAAGCGCTGCTGTGGTGTGGAGGTGAAGTGAAACAGGGACAGTGAAATACCTCCATGTGGCTCTGGCATCAGTGAACCTGCACTTATTCTGTGTTTCCTCCACAGTCACTTAAAATGACCGAGGAGCACTGTGCTCTGTTTCCATCACAGTTGGTGATGGCTGAGAGCTGCGTGTTTGTCTAACTGTTGGTGCATCTTTGTTCCTTCAAGTTTAACTTTAAGGTCTGGTTGTTCACTTCTACCCTAGTTGACCCAACTGCTGAATTTCCTGTTTGAAGAAAGAAGTGCCACGTGGTATCTTGTCTTTTCTCTCCTCTGACAAAGTTTTCTTTTACAGAGAGAGAGAGTAGTTTTTGCTTTCTGAATGCAACATCCCCCCTAAAAGAACCTGTGTATTAAAGCAGGCCATCGAGCCTTTCATCACTTCTCTTGGTGATAGCAGTCATGAATTTTTTATTTTCTGCAGGGCTCACTCCAGATCTGCCACAGCATTGTGTGGGTGCACACATGTAAAAAGGCTACTAATTGAAATTCAGATGTAACGAGATGAAGTTTTGCTATTCACCATGACTGCCTTTTGTTTTAGCCCATGTACGCTCAGTGCACCTAAACAATGCAACCATTGCTTCTCCTTTTAGATTCAACAAGAATAACTAAAAGGGGAAGAAATATTTCTGTGTCTGCTGTAGAGATGATATACGCACCCCCAGAAATGGGAATGGCGTGCGTCAACTTATTTGTTTGCTTATTTGCGGGGAGGGGCAGAAATTCTAATGGAACCCTAAAGAAAAGAAAAGAAAATAGAAATCTTGCTGCTATAAACTGTTCTCTTGTGAAGATGCAAATGTGTCTCTATTGCCTAGGTAACTATTATGGAACGCCCAAGCCTCCCAGCCAGCCCCTCAGTGGGAAAGTGACTTCCACCGATGCTTTGCAAAACCTGCAGTCTGGCTCCAAGCAGTCGACTCCAAAGCGAACCAAGTCTTACAATGATATGCAAAATGCTGGCATAGTGCATACAGAGAATGAGGAAGAGGATGATGTACCTGAAATGAGCAGTAGCTTCACAGGTAAAGCAAAAATATCGCGGTCCGTCAATTAGGATACGTGGGGAAGGTTTTTGGAGGGTGTTTTGATGGAGGGGAGTGTTGTTCTTAATGTGTTTTCTGCAAAGCTGTCAAATCTCAAACAGAGCAGGCCGGCACCTGAATGGAAGATGTCCAGGTGTGAACAAGCACATGCACAGTTGTGCCTTTCCAAAAATGCCTTGCGGGATTGAGCTAAATGAGAAAGAAATGTGCAAGTTCAAATCCATTAGTTGCAGAAAGGTCAAGGAAGAGTTGAGCTATAGTTGACAGTTCTAAACAGTATGGAATGACTCAACCAGGATTACATTTGAAATTAATTGTTGCTGCTTACTAAATATGTTGCTGTTCATCCCCTTCCTTGCATCTAGAGCTGCCCATCACATACAATTACAAGGTCCTCTTCTCCAAGGGACCTTTCAGCAAATCAAGGACTGCTTGCTGCAGGAATAAGGTCTGAAGCTTGGGTGCAAACTCTGTGTTTTTTGAAGGCCTTGTGTCCTGCTGAACACAGATCTCAGTGCCACCATGACTGCCATCAAGCATCAGTTGAAAGATCACTGGAAAACATTACAATCTAAAGTCAAGTGCTGTGCGGGCAGATTCAAAGCAAAGCACTGTTGGAGATCTATTGAATTTCCACAGAAATCAACTGGAAGCTTGTGAAGCTCTGAGGGACAAGAGCTTTTCCCCATGTTCTCAATTCTAGTTTTTGTTAGCACTTGGAGCATTGCTTCCTCAGCCCAGTTTCAAGAATTGAATTGTTGTGACATGGCAGTAGCCTCAGCCTTTGTCATAGGAGTCTGATTTTGGGAGGCACCTGGTGGGAGATGCTGTTTGATTTCTTTGCTGCCCATCTCAGTTTGGTGCCCCTGAAGTAACTTGAGCATCATTTCTCTTCCTTGTTTTCCTTCACAAGATGAAATACTGGAAGCTCATTTGTCACAACATTATCACACCCTGGCCCCTTGCCTTCATTAAATGGGCACAGAATCAAGAAAAGAGTCATTTCTCATATACCAAAGTGATTCCTTATGCTTACTTCACGTGTAAGTGTGATAGCCATATTAAAACGCTCCTGCTTCCCTAGAAGACCTCCCAGTGACTTGTGTTTTCCAGATTTTTGGCATGTTTATACTCTCAGTTTTAAGCTGGCGATGATTCATTCATGCTTCTTTATCTTGTCATCTTCTACCTAAAAATATCAAACGCCAGGAAGGCTGGAAAGCAGGCACTGAGAGTACTGGTATAGATATTTTTCTTCCTGTTTCTCCCAGTTTATTCTGTTCAGTATCTTGTCTTTTGGTAATGGCAGCATACAGACTAGAATAGTGCAGGAGCTATTTCTGAGGATGTGGGATGTGGGCGGAGCATGTCCTTGGTCTCTGGTCTGGAGAGCAGGGTTGAGGTCCTGTCTGTGGAGCCCCACTCCATGGGGAGTTGGCAGGGGGTGACACTGATCTCTGTCTTTTGCTCAGTGTGTTGACTGCTGCTTGTACTGATATTCTCAGGGGATGTACTGCCATAAATTTTCAACACCTGCAAGAACCAGAGAAAATCCCTTTGGGAGACACAGGGTTGATTTTAGAATCTATTGTTGCCAAAACCTCTCTGTGAAGGAATTAGGGGCACAGACCTGTTTACTGGGGAGCATTTACTGTGATTTGGGATGGAGGGAATGAGCAGCAGTGTTTCATGGATACAGCTCAACGCTGCATAGAAACAAGCATAAGAAATATCTCCTTAGAGGGAGAAGGGCCAGATGCATCTTAAAATACACCTGACTGACTTTGACTGGAAGGATATAGTGTTGAGCCATGGAGTAAACCTCCTCAGATAGCGAGAACAGGCACTGGTGAGCAGCAACGTGTGGACACGTCATGCAGTGCTGACATTTATTTTAATTTTTAATTTAAAATAACACACTGCAGTGAAGACATTCACCACTAGCTTGTTGACTTTGAGCTTCTGGCAACCCTTTGCGTTCATAAAAATCTTGCCTTTTGATCATTCTTCAAACAGGAAATTTTATTCTCCTAATCCCTGTCCCACAATAGGCACTGCAGGAGTGAACCAGTAAGCCTGCTCAAAAACCCATTGAACTCATCTACATCAGTGAGCCCTGGCCTCAGACTGCTTGGAAGAATTTGGTACCTCAGCAGGGCCTGTGAGAGCAAACACAGGAGCTGATCACAGCTCCTGATTTGTTTGGCCGGGGTCTGGCTGGCAGAGTTTGTGTGGGCAAAGCAAGCTCGTCCCTGCTGGCAAGACTGCTGAGGCTCTGCCCTCGGTTCATCTGCTGCTATGTCTTGTGAATTAAAAAGCAAGGAATGGAAGACTGCTAGGATAAACCTGGAGGAGCAAACAGGAGGAGAAAAATACTGATTTTTCACTTTTATCTGTTCTTTATTCTACAGCAGAGTCTGGTGACCAAGACGAGCATAACTTGCATATCGTGAGAGAGACAGCCCCACCGTCTGTGATTGATAGCCACACCAACGTTCCCACCACGGAACCATCTCAGAACCTCCCTCAATACCTACCTCCTTCTGCTGAGGATAACCTAGGTCCTCTGCCGGAAAACTGGGAGATGGCCTACACCGAGAACGGAGAAGTCTATTTTATAGAGTAAAGCACATTTTTGTTGTTCTAATTCCATCTCTCTCCCTCTCCCTGGGCATAAGTAAGCCTCCATGGATGCATTTTGTGTGTGTGTATGCGTGTGTGTTAAATATTTAGTGTATACAGTTACGGTGCAGAGCTGTTATTCTTTACTGCTTCGGAAGGGGGTTTGCATTTCCTGATTGGATTAACATCCAAATTACTCCTGAGTTCAAAGGCAGTGGGAATTGCTTGCTTTATGAGGGTAGTTACAAAAGCAACAGACACTTATAAAATACGGGCCAGTTGTTTTCATGGGTGGAATGAAAGCTCCTAATTGAAAGGGCTGAGACTTCATTTCTGGCGCCTGCCTCTGTGCATAATGCAGCGGAAGGGGATTCCTCCAATTCCTGTGTGCAGGCAACAGCAGAGCCAGGGATGGACTCTGTGTGTTGTCCCCTCCTCAGAGCAAGCAGGCCAAACGTGTTCATGTGCTCCAGTGGTTTGCAGAAGGAATAACTCAGTGCAGAGTAGGCACAGTAAAGTTTTAAACACAAGTACCTTGTGCTCTGCAGTCTTTGCCTAAGAGCTGAGCGCTGTCAGCAGTTTTATGATGATATTGATTTTTTTTCATGCCATAAATAATAGTCTCTAATTATACTTGTCTAAATTTATTGAGATGGGAGTAACTTATAAAATAGGACCTACTAGTGGAAGAGAGTTCTTGCACAGAGCTTAGCTAGACATTAACATTCAATTAGCCTTTGAAACTCAAGCCCTGAGCTGCCAAAGTAGAGAAGGGGGCGAGGAATTGATTTTGGATTTGATGGTCTGTTTAATGCAGTTGTGGAACCTAGATTGTGGAACTCGAGATCCTCTGTGTACCAGAAATCAGTGACTGGTTAGTGCAGAAGAACCTTCTCTACTAATTGCCCCTCTGGTGCTCTGGAGAGTTACATTGGATCAGGGCAGTAAGGGCCAGCAGTCCTGCCTCGTCATCAGGAGAGGGGACTTTTGGACAGGGCCATGAAAAAGGCCTTCATCAGAGCAGGTTTTCCCTTGGCTGCAGCGGCAGGGGAGCACATTAGAGAAGAGTGCCAGAAATCCTGAGGAGCTGGGATAACTGAGAGCACTGCATCAGCCTTTCCCCAGCTGGGAGAGGAATGATGTAAAAAAGGCCATTTTCCAGGGTGTTCTCAGTTACCTGAAGAGGCTCCACCAACCCCCCTAGTGTAAGCCAAAGTCGAGAAGACACAGTGCTAATTCTCATCAGATGAAACTGAAATGTGTACATTAGCCCGAACAGGGCATTCTGCCCCTCACTGTGTCCTCAGGGTGCCTCCTTCTTTGACGTACTTTCTGGCCTTTATATATAGAACACAGCCTGAGTAATAGCCCATCCAGCCTGCCATTTTCCTCCCTGGAGGAGGACAGATGATGAGCACTAAATGCTGCCCAAGCAGTCGGTTGCTCCCCTTTTTGACCCCACATGGGCCCCTGCTGTCCTTCCTTACAGGTGCTTTGGTCAGAGGTTCTGCCACTGATTTCCCCAAACCCATCTCCATGGCTACTGTATTCTCCGTGTTCTCTTAGCAATGCAGGACTGTAGCACCTTAAATAACTTGCCAGACCTTTTGCAGGAGAATTATATATATAGTGGGAAAACATAGCCTGCATACACAACTGCCTGTCCGATGTGAAGCTCTGGCAGCACCAGCTGCTCCCTCCCTGCAGTGCAGATTGACCAGTTTGGGGGAACCTACACATGGGGCTGATTTTGTGCATGAAAGTGTTAGCATGGATGCAGCACTGAATGGCTGCAGTTCTATTAATTCTAAGGACACCCTGAGCCTGGAAACCGTTTAGCTTGATTTGTATCAAATTAAGGGAGGGAGCTAATGAGCTGTGTGGACCCAAGCTGGCTCAGATGTCTGTACCAATGTCTATGGCATTTTGGGTATCAAGCCATGATGCTGAAGGCAGCAGCAGGAGAGCACCTGAGCTGCTTGCACAGAACTAGTGCAGGTGCAGTGGGGCCAGAGATGTGTGTCAGATAACCAATCCTGATGTCTTGTAGCTGAAGCAATTTGGCTCTTGAGATACGTTTCTCTGGTGCTTTAATTGGAATTTTCATTACCCAGCGTATCCCAATCCCTCGTTGCCCTGTGTGTGGATCTGTGCATGTTGCAGGTGTAACAACAATCCTGTCCCTCCCAGTGTATGATCTGAAAGGTGTTTAGCTAAATTTTCTGTGTCTCAGCAAACTGCACTGTTGTGAGCCTTTGGTTAGCGAGACAAAATTCCAAGAAATATGCAAATATTCTATTGCTCTCCTCCCACCGCCCTCTTTCTCAGCTAGACTGCAGACTTGCTTATTTATAAGCTGGCAGACCCCCTCTGCTTTATTGCTGTTAATGTGCCCGACTTGCTGAATTTCTGCCATTCAGTTTTCTAATTGCTCTGAAGCATACATAAGGATTAAACACGTTTGCTCATCCTGCCTTGGGAGGGCTGGGTAGTGGGATGTGTAAAACAAGGACCTTTTATTTACTCACTCCGTTCCCAGGAGCAGGGCATTCCCCTTGTTTTTTCTTGCAGTGCAATACGACTTTGCTGGTCGGTTGTTTGTTCCTCAGGGATCACGGCCCTCACTACGGAGCCCTCACAAGACTGTTGTGAGGCTAAAGTTCAGTCTGTAAACCTCTTTGAGACCTTGAAGGAGGAGTAAATAGCATTACTACGGTATTGAAACTTAAAACGGTTAAGCAGTGTTAAAGGCTAAGCTAGATAAGTGATACCTCAGGGACTGGAGGGGTGTCTTTGCAGGTTATGTCTAAGATGACACCAGGTTGTAGAAGAGGCATTATATTACCAGATTGTCTGCTTATGCAAATGAAATTAATGGGAGAAAATAACTTCTAGAGAAATGTATTTTAAGCCTGTTTACTATGCAGCCTTCACTGCTGGGACTGGCATCATGATACTGTCAGGGGACCTGTAGAAAGGAAGAGTTGAAAGTAAAGCTGTTCAGCTGCCATCAAAGGCTTTGGCAGAACATTTTTATTTCTGTAATTATAAAGTTTTCACTGGAAACTGTTTTTGACTAATGCTTAGGTCAACTCTAGACATGTCAAAGGCCTTTTGTGGGAGCAAAGGTCACTTCATAGTTTAGGAAGGAAGGGAAACTTGTGTCTTGGTCTTAAAGACAGCTCTTGGAATTAAAAAACCAAGCCACTAAAACCAGAAATTTGGAAATTTATCATATTGCAGCTTCCTTGTGCATCCTTCTGGTCAGGAATGCTGATTTGTATGTTTTCACTTTTTACCTCTGTGTTTTCAATGCCAAAGTTCTTGTGATTTGGTAGACTAGTTTGCAAAACATCAAATATTAGAGCTGTTTCTCTGGATCAAAAGTATGCCTTCAGGTCTGTTGAATAATAAAGAGGATATATACTTTTATGTCACGGATACTGCAGTTCTGGTTTATTAACAAAGGTCATATTTCCATTTTTGGTTTCCAGCCATAACACAAAAACAACATCTTGGCTAGATCCACGGTGCCTGAACAAACAGCAGAAGCCTCTAGAAGAATGTGAAGATGATGGTAAGAGACTAAAAACGGTGAAATAATAATGTATTTGGTCCCTTTCTAGATAACTTTTTTCCTTTCTCTTCTATCTTTCTAATAACCTGTGTGTTCAGAAAGACTTTTTTTTTTTAAAGAAAAAGGTTTATCAGCAAGTGCATAGAGACAATATCCATTATTTGCTGTGAATGTTTACTGTGGATGTAAAATAACCATTGAGATGGCAGATCATTTAAAGAAAATCAAGGAGGTGCTACAAGTAAGAGGCCTCTGTTTTTGCAAAGGCATTTGAAAAGTCACTGATGCTGAACAAGACTCAAAGCTGTCCAACATATTTGCTCCTTGGATCGCTTTGTAGGAGGGAGCGACTGGGTCTCTGCTTGATCCATTTGTGTTGCGCTTCAACCACCTGCTGTACGTGGGTTGAAAGAGTTATGTTGTTGTTTCCGTGTTTGGGCAGAAATAATTCAATTCCTTCATTTCTCCTGTTAAATTCTGACAGTCCACATAGTGTTACGATTGCTGAAAACAAATTCCATTGGAAAGTGTGGGGTTTTGACACTGAAAATTTACACTGATAAGATTTTGTATTCCTTGAGATGTTGGAAATGCAAGCCACTGTCCGATTTAGAGCAGCCACAGGCAGGACTGTTACAGCAGGTTCATTCCTTGCATCCTTTTGGACATACTGGAAGAAAAAAGGAATTATGAAAATAACTTAAATGTTTAGGAAAACCTGTGTGGAAATGTTGCTCTAGTGACCAGGAAAGGTGATGGTATTCAACTGCTTAATTTTGGCTAACACGATGCTATCATAGTAGACGTGTCTTAAAAATAGAAGTGTTGGTGCTGTCCTTGTAAAATTAGTTTTCGTAATACGATTAACCATCTACTAGCGTCCATCATCTCAACACAAATTACAATTTTATTTCAGGAAAGAATCAACTCAATCCCTTTGCAGTGGTAGGTTCAACTCTGGCCTTCAGAACTGCTGTTACTATTTTTGCACATGCAGTTTTCCAACCTCTGCTTCCTTTCACATGGGAGATTTTGCATGATATGAGAATTTACCTGTGCAGCCTTGGCTGCTGTGATGAAGCAGGTCACCCACTTCCTAGTGCACAGAGCAGCATACCCTTAAACCACAGGGATATGCAAAGCCCAGGCAAAAACTGAGCTGGCCCCTGTTTCGTGTCCTTGGCAACTGGCATCATTTGTCAGGGAACGGGCAGAGGGAGCTGGGTTAGGGAAGGCCTTGCTCTGCCTCTACAAGTGGATAAGTCAGTGGGTCAACAAAACTGGAGCAAAATTAAATAATAACATATGTATGCAGGCAAAGCTCCCTCCTGCTTTCCTGGCTTCCTCTACCAGTGACACTCCCACTACATTCATGTCCCTGGTGATGCCAACAAGTGTCACATGCCACTGTGGGGTCAGCGTGTCCCATGCTTTGCTCGCTGAGCCAGGGCGAGGAGCAGCTGGTAGGATGAGGCTACAACAGGTTGTCAGGCTCCTCTGTTAAACAGTTTTAGGTCTCCTCACAGAAGGGAAAGTCTTACTCTCATCCTCTTAGCAATTACAAAGTGAACATTGGAATAATTTATTTTGTTGGAATTAGAAACATACAGCTGGTATTATGTATTGTATTTCATTCAGTTCATAATTTTGAAGAGCAGTGGCATTTTTGTTTATCAACTCCTTAAAATCAGCTAATTTCATCTTCCCACACACCCCTTCACTTCATTCATCGAGTTGCTCATTAATGGATATTTTTAACATTCAGTAGTTAAAGCAGTTGCTTCATAGTTACAGCAGTGCACTGCACTGCTTCGCTTGTCTGCTCTGATCTTGCTTAGCACATAAGAATAATTAAATTTCAAAAAAACAAAGAGGTGAGGTTAGTTTTGCTGCATCACAGAAGCTGGACAGTTTTTGGAAAGGGTCACTTTTGGGTGTCATTCCACTGAAGTCAGTGGGATGACTTCTCTGTTTTGTTTGGTGTGTGTGCATGTGAGTTGTCAGGTCGATCCCATCATGTTTGTGGATTTTATAAATGTTAGATGTTGTTTCAGATTTGTTTGGTTGCAGTTGCTTTGTGTTTTTGCTTCATCAGAATATGTGTCCCTAACAAGTTTCTGCTTGTTTCCAGTTGTTTAGGGTGTCAAAGGAAATTGCAATTTGTATTTCACTCTAATGGTCCCAAACAACTGTTGGTAGAACATTTTGCAAACAGGTTGTGAAAGTGGTTTTTTAGGTGTCCAGATTTTCCTAAGCAATATTGTGACTCTATGTTTTCTGGTTGCTTCTGTCATTCATTTATGTGGCTTAAACTTTCCTGTGTTAGGTCCAAGATTGTTTTTACCATCTTTGTTCTTGTTTTGTCACCATCTTTCATTTTCAGACCACATTATTATTATTTATAGGCTAAGCAATACTTTAATCATCTGTGTCACTGTTAACTTATGAATATGGAGCAGATAATGATAAATGGAGCAACAGCGAATATTGATGGCTTTGTGTCTTTGAAAAATTATGTGATCTTTGTCCCAGGTGCCCTGCTAAAACTGGTGCATTCCTATATATGCCTCACCAGTGCATCTGGACTGTAGTGTGGGTCTGTGCCTCCAGTTAAACAAGGCACTTCGTGTCTATCTTATATCATCTGATAGAACATCGAAGTCATTTGGACCTTGTATGCACATCAATTTCGGTACTTTCTCAAAAACCTTGCTACTTAGTCCTTATTTAGATGCAGGGTTTTCCTCTCAGATTTCTTCATTAGTATTCAGGTCTGGCCTTCTGACAGATCCATGTGTCTACAGAACGGATTCCGAAGGTCGGACTGTGCAGATCTGAGGGAGAAGCCTCACTACAGTGAGAACAACCCAAATGCATGATTTTGCCATATCAAACCATGACGTGGAAGTAGTCCATTGATACAGATGTTTTGAGAGTGCAAGAACCAGTTTTTTTCATTATCTTCATCAGATCCATCAATATTCTGATCACTGAAGTGTGATAAATGGAAAGCTTGGGCTTGGTCTGTAGAAAATTAGTGCCGGTTCTGCTGTTTGCTGTAGGGAATTTCTTGCTTGGTGCTGGTATCTGAAATTTTCTTTTAATTTTTTCTGTCTCATTTACTGCTCTTCCCTTGGAGAAGAAGGGGTACACACGGAGGAACTGGACAGTGAACTAGGTAAATCATCCATCTCTCGTTTTGATGTTTGACTTCAAGTGCACTGTTTTAAGCCTTTAATTACTTTCTCCTTTGTATCATTTTGCATCTTTCAGTTTTTTTATTTCAACAAGCTTAATTTATCAGCAAGACTTCCCTAGCATTAATCTTTCCCTAGCTTCAGATCTACAGTGGTTTTCTTACTGATTGAGAGTTTGAAGAAAGCTAGAGGGCCTTCATCTTGCAAAGTTGGTTCTAAGCTGCTTCCTCCTGGACCCTGCAGAAGTCAGGGGCTTTTCCTTTGGCATCGCTGGCTCCAGGAAAAAGCTTACAGATACTGAAGTTGGAATCAAGTAGCTAATGATGCTTTTTCACCGGGGACAAAGACATTTCCCAGACAATAGAACCTGAGTGTGGTTTAGAAAGTTTTACATCAGATGCTTCTGCTGAGCTTGTGAATGAAGCAGCTCAAAATTTTGCCTCAGTCGGTGATTTTGTAAACAGATTATTTTCAGTGATGTGGTACACTTTTATTTGCTGCATCTTTTTTGTGAAGGATGCTGTCTTGATATCTAATCTCAGCGGTGCTCATTGTGTTTATACTGATGGTGGAGGTAGTTGTTATTTCTGTTCAGCTACGCTCTAGTGCACTCGGAAAGCTGAAAGGATAAGAGGTTGCAGAGGATTTTATTTCCACTAGGACTATTATTGCTTTTAGAAAGGACTGTACTTACAGTTCATAGTTCTGCGTACTGGAGGAATTGTATTACTGGGGAATTAACCTCTGGTTTCTGTAATGACTTGCGAGTAAGTGTATTCTGCTCCCTGCTCCTGCATGATGGATACAGCATCAGCAGCAGACTTTTAACACTACTCCAGGAGTGGTTCTTCTGAATAATATGCCTGGAATAATGCTGGAGGCCTAATTTCTTTTAGAGCAAGGATTTGAAAGAAACGACAAATTAAAGAAGAATGCATTCTCTTTAGTGGTACGTGAGTGTTATGTGCAACTCATACAAATAATCAGCAGCGGACCAAATAACACAAGAAGTAGGTGGATGCACACCAACAATCTGCAAAAGGTTGTCATGAACCTCTATACAAACGGTGACTTAAAATGAGAGAGAGGATGAAAAAAATTTAGAGGCAGTAATGAAATAGAAATGACCCCTTCTTTCAGTCTGCTATCAGGATCTAGTGGAAGAGAAGAGCTGAAAAAACAGATGCAGGGAAACTCATTAATTGATAAGCCTGACCCCAGTTCTGCAGGCACTTCCGTACCACAAGTGTTTTGCTTGAGCATCGCGAGATGTTCCCTTTGTTTAATGCAGATAAGCTTTATTGAACCCACAGCCATCAATACACTGCTGGGCTGAGTGTTGAAACGTTGCACTGTAAAGAAAGGACTTTTTCAAATTACTCAGTCCGTTGCAGCAACACTAGGGAGAGGGCATGAAAACTCATGGTTAGTATAAACTCGTTGGTGACACTTATGTAGCTCCTTAGGTTATCAACAGTTTTTGTTCTAAACGTAAGGAAATTAAAAATTGGGGATTTGCAGAGCTGCTTGTTCACCAAGACATGTTGAATATGGAGTAACAGGCCACCTCTTTTTAACAGAAGGATGAACAAAAGGACAGAGAAATTAACCCTTGGTGTAGAATTTAACATGTGCATGGGCAGACTCTCCTCTCTCACAAAGAGAAGCAAGAGCTGAGTGTGCTGAGCTTCTCTCCAGCTCCTTCACAGTGATGCATGGATGCAACTAAAATGCCTGGTGGTTGGAGAAGTAATGTTTTAGGAATTCATCCAGCCTCTCTGTAGGGCAGGATATAGAGCATCTTAGTAGGAATCCATGTATTTATCCCAAGCTTAAAATTGTGAAATTAGATACTTGTCCATTGAATTTACCTGCTGATAAATGCTGTGGGACTGCAGGGTGCTGCATGGCTGTACCAAAATAAAAACCAAATGGCTCTCTCAGGCTCCTAATGATCTGAAATGTTTTTGGAAATCTCATATTTGTGATAAAATCTAATGCTTTGGGTCATCTTCAGTTTGGCAGGAGAGATAGAAAAGGGAGATGAATAATTTAAAGCAGCTAAGAAGCTAGACTGGCTTCTTCTGTGCAAGATGGCTATGGAAAATATTGCTTTTTGCTTTATAAAACTTCCAGAAGATTGTAGAAGTCAGAAAGTGCATCTACGTAATCAATAAGAAATGTGTTAAAAGCTGCAGTTTTGTATATTGTTACATCTGAAAACATAGACGTATGTTCCTTAAATAGAAAGCTGCAGGGATAGTAAACTGTAAAGATTTTGCCATAATGCCATTTTTGGGGGTTAGGAAAGTGCTGTTTTTCTGATCTTCTGTGCAAAGGCTTTTAAAGAGAAAAAAATTTAATATCAAAATCTTTTGTGAACAGAAAAAAAATTGCTTAAACTTTTAAAATAAAAATCACTTAATAATTCAAAATAGACAAAATATTATCAGGAAAGCTGGTGGAAAACTCATTTGAAGGCATTTGTGCATTACTTCCCCCTTCCCTCATTGACTTTTTGTTTTTCTTCCACCCCAGCTTGATCTCTTTACCATTCTACTTTCACCATAGTGCAACAAGCTAAAAATGGCTGCCACAACCTATGTTTTACTCAGTCTCATGCTAGGTCTTAATTTAATTGCACTGAAAATCTGGAAGCCAGTCCCACAGTGTATTCACCTTATTGGACTCCTTTGCAAACCTGAGAGTTCCCTTTGCAAAAAGACTTTCAAGATTGGCCTCTAGCTTTCTGGCTTTTCTCACCTACACTGGCAGGGTATAAAGGAATATCTATTTCTGAAGCGCTTGATCTGCTGATAGAATTATGGAGGTTTTTCATGCCCAAAAGTTAGCACTGGCTTGCATTTAATGGCTTATGTCTCAAGGAATCCAAAGATGTTCAACCCAATAAGGATAAAACAACGATAAGAATGGAAAACCTACCTTTTGTCTGCAAATAAGGGATATGTGGAGCAAAACCAATGAAAATTGATTTCATCTGATCTCCAGCCAATTTTGAACACGAACATAAACTTTGAGTAATTAGTCCATGTGTGTTTGTATAGATTCTGTTCCTCTCCAGTCTGGAGATATTTCTATCCTTATGGCAACATTATTCTAATTAATGGGCCATTGTTGATTGTATTGGCTCAGCAATTGGTGTCATTAATGAAAATAAATCTTTGCATTTGATAATAAACAAGCATAGATTGCTATCAGTCTTGACTATTTCATGAGGAATTTTGAGGAATTAATTTGCATGGGGTATTTTACCTTGTATTATCCAACAGTGTTGCTTTCTTTAAAATTTCAATGAATGTGCAGAGTCTGTGGGACCACATGAGCACAGTCCATGGTGTGGTAGAGCCTTTTTCTGAGTTGTTTCTCAGTATTACTGGAACACACTGCTCTGTATTGTTAATAGGATGATTATTTCGTTACCCACAGGCAATGGGAACATTGTGTTTAAATGAGTGGCAAAAGGATCAGGCCCTTAAGTAATACATACGACTTTAATAACTCTCAGTTGGATGCTGAAGTGATTTTATATACATTCAGTAATTCTAGTTAAAGTACTACATGCAGTCTAGAAAATCAACAGGAACAAAAGCGGATACATTTCCAAATGTTAATTTCATCTTCAGAACTATCTTTTTGTTAATTACGCTAATTAAAAAAAGGAAATATCTGTTACGTGTGACTGTGGCAATATGTGTTCCTGAGTTAAGTGCTATGCAGTGAAACACATCTGTGTGTGCCAACCACTTGCGTGGGTTCTTTATGCTGAGTGTTTGTGTTAAATTCACCTTGTCCTGTTTCAAGGTGTGTTTTGTGTTGGGCTCATGGCTGAGCAATGCAAATCCCTAAGAAAGGAGTTTTCAGCAGTGGTGAGCATAAGTGGCTTGGCCCTGGTATAGGAGATGAAAGCTGTCCCTGTCAGTGGGCTATAATTGCTTGCCATAGTCTCACACACCTTCAGAGGTTGGTGTTGAAATGCCTCTGGCTTGTTGCCCCTGCAGTGCTCCATCCAGAGCCACTGCCCTTAGGGGTGAGACCAGGAGGGTGCTTGAGACATGCCCAGAACTTTGAGCATTTGCTCATTTAATGCAAAAAGCAACTAAAAAATGGACTAGAATGAGCTTGTTCCCAGTTTGGTGTTAACCCAGCCCAGGGAGCACAGGCTGGGATGTTGGTGCTGTGCTGTGCCAGCCTTTCAAAGGAAGTTGTGATCGTTCTGAAAAGTGTCTGAAGCAAAGCCTGAGGTACTGATGAGTCTTGCAACTGCCTGTCAAAGAAAAACTGCACTGGAGGCTTCAGTAATGCTTTTTCTATTTCCAGAGTTGCCTGCTGGTTGGGAGAAAATTGAGGATCCCGTATACGGTGTCTACTATGTAGAGTAAGTGCTGCTCCCTGGTTCTGGTGTGGCTATTGGGTGGAGGAAGACCGTCCTCACAGTGGGCTCTTTGTTTTGCTGGGAGCACCTCATATCAAGCAGGAGGAGACCCTGGCCCCTCACAGGCTGGGGGATGCTATAGGGGTGGGGAGAGGGCAGTCCTGCCTCTCCATCCATCCTGGAGTGGGAGTGGGCTCAGGGAAGATAGGAGTGCCCTGGGAAGCGGGGGGTGATCTCAAGGATGACAGGAGCAACTCGGGGTTGGGGCGTGCAGGAGTCCCTACATCTCACAAAATACTTCCATCCAAAGAACATTAACAAGTGTGCAATTAACTGAGCTTGATCCCCTTCAAACAGTGCCATGATCAAAGCATGAGTGTGCAAAGCAGACACCAATTCAGTTGTGTCAGGAGGAATGGAGAAGCTGGTGTGACCAAGCAACCACAGCAGAGGTTCTTGCATCAGGCTGTGTTGTTGGGAATAGAATTACAGGTTTAATGTGACTCTCTGTGGAATTAGAACAGCTTCTCCTTTATCTAGATGTCCAATCGCTCCTTTGGGAAACCAGAGATCTGAGTTCTGTTTCATCACTGACCCCATAAAATGAATTTTTAATTATGTGTATACTCCTGTCTAGTAGGATGGCTTATGATAGTCCTCAGAATAGATATGGAATACAGTTTCTGTCTGCTTTGGCTCATTTTTGACCCTACCATCTGTGCCTAGGGAAACAGGGTTAGCAAACTGTGTAATTAAGGCTTGACATTTATTTACCAAAGACATCAAGAATATTTTTCAGCTATTAAATGCCATGCCAAGAGGTCTTTACAGCATTTTTCCCTGTCACTTTATATATACATGCCCATTAGTTTTGTGGCACTCCTTACTCATTGAATTAAATCTAAAAGTAACAGCAATAAGACATAATTTTATTTTACTTCTGTCTCTAAGCTAGCAAGATGGTTATAATTTTAGCATTTGTCTTTGTCTGTTCAATTCAGGCTTTCTGTTATTGCATAATAGTTTTTATTGAGACACAATTGTATCGTAAAAAAGTTTATATCATTTTTAAAATAGTTATCTATTTCCTTAACTTTCTGAAAATACCTTGAAATGAGAAATCTTTTACAGACAACATTAACTTGTTTTTATTTGAGTAGTTAAATATTTTTCCAGCCATTTGATATTGATCCTTAGCAGAAAAAAAATTCTGAGCGTAACCCTCTCGAGTGCTTCTATTGCAATTACCTGAAAAATTGGTTGGTTGTTCGTATGGGGGGTTTTAGGGTTTTTTATAAAGACACATGGGATAGGAGACAATATAATGGCAAGTTCTTAATAGTAAACTTTACTTTGGATACAGAGATGGGCTTGAAGCTGATATAGTTTTCTAAGGTCTACCTACTCCTCTGCTGCAGAAAATGACTACTGAAAATGGCTCTTGAACAGCTGATGAACCATAAGCTGCAAGGGAGTCCCAGACGTGCCCCCACCACCCCAGCATCTGTGGCTGGTGTTCATCACTTGGTTTCATAAGATGGTTAATCCTCTTGTGGACTGCATGGCTTGTCTGCTGTGCTGGGGCTGGGCTGCTTTTTTTGCATTTTCCTGAGGCTGATAAGAAGTATTGGCTCTCGACATCTCATACTGGTCAAAAGCTGCCTAACGAGTACAACTGAAGGTTCACCAAATGCTGGTTTCCACTGGGAGCGTTTGCTGGTGGCTGATTCTGGATGGATTTTGATTCATTTGGAGCCCAGCTCATAGCCTGCATCCCTGCAAGTATTTTTAAGACACCCAGTGTGCACTGATCAGGTCACTGACAGATATTATTACCAGTTGTTGGGGTTTGTTTGTTTTGTTCGTTTTTAACTTCAGTGAGCCAGGGAATGACTGCACCTCTGGGAATCTGATTAAAGCAGGGGTGCTACAGGCCTGTCTTTTGAAATGCAATCAGACAGAGCACCTTTTCTATTTTAATCTCATTTTTCACAGCGAGATCACTACTTTAATGTATTTGGGGGAATTAGCCATTCCTACTCAAGACATCATATCAATACTGGAATCCACCTATTTTTCTAAATACTCTTTTTGGCACTGCTAGGTTAGCCTTGCTCCACACCCACTGCTGTTGGGTTTGTTTGATGTTTTATTCCTTTCCTCAGAAAGAGGAGTTTCGTGCCTGGCCCTCATTACTTCTATTTGCATAAGGGGTTTCCTAATTTATTGCTCTCTTTCGTCTCCAGCCACATCAACCGGAAGACACAGTATGAAAACCCAGTTCTTGAAGCAAAGAGGAAGAAACAGCTCGAGCAACAGCAACAGCCTCCAGAAGGTTGGCAACCCCTGAGGGCATCGTGGTTGGGGTGTTCATGAGGTGCCCTCCCTGGCCATGGCAGCACCATGCCAAAGTGTTTGTCCTTCCTTCTGTGGCCTTACTGTTCAAAGGCAAAGTGACGTGCATGGGAAATGTTGTGTTTGCCCTTCACATGAGGTGCAGCAAAGGAGAAAAGCTGGACCATATCATAAGCACTTAAACACAGAAGCTTTCAGCCTTGTTAGAGAGGAAAGATTCTTCTTTAGATGTCCTTTATTTCTGGAGAGTTTATAGACTTCCCAAAACCAAGTAAAACAGATATTTTCCTGTTTAATCTGCTCCATCAAGTAATTCACTGTAGAGGGTGGTGTTCCAGTCTTCACTGGGACTCATGCTGTCAAAGGGGATGAGGAGTGAGCGTTTACACACACTGGAAACCCCTCTGAGCGAGAGATTTCTTAACCCAAGACCTTTGGAAGTTGTCAGGCTCTAACATGTGAAGTAATTTCATTATTTTGAAACAATTTTTTTTTCTCCCCTCCCCCTTCCTTTTTTTTCTTTCTTTTTTTAATTTATTTTTTTCTTCAAATGCAGCCCAACTGCAGTGAGGGGCACATGGCATTTGGGCTTGCTCTTCTGTTTAGATGCCGTGAGTGCCACGGGGAATAGATTTTATTTAAATATCAAGTCCACATAGATGCAAATCAAGTCCCAAGTTTGAGCTTGCGGTAGGATGTCCCAACAGATGGATCAGTTGACCTGGACATAGAGGTCCTCTAGAACTGGTGTTTGGACATGCCATTCATTTCATTCCCTCTGTCTGTGACTCTGTTTCCTCTCTTGCCATGGTTCTCACGTCCCCTCTGCTTGCACCCCACACTCGCAGCCTGTGTTCGTGCAGCAGCTCCCAGTGCTGTTGTGAAACAAGTAACATTTCCCTCTCTGCCCTCTCCAGAATGGACAGAGGAGTGTCCATCTCTCCCACCACCCGCTGCTCCAAACCATGTTTCAAACAACCAAGAGGCAGTTCGGGAAGCACCAGTGCAAGGTAACAACCTTGTTAAACGGGTTGTAAAAGAGCAATAAGGTTTTTTTCTGAGAATGACAGTCGTGGACCACCAGAGCAGGCAATATTTCTGTAATTAGTGTGACACCAGGGCATGTGCCCATTTACCTGAGTTGCCACAGATTTTGAGACTAGTTTCAAGTCCACTTTTGTGGTACTTTAGGCTATTACAGCCTTATTTGTGGTCTGTGTAGCCCATTGCTCACAGACCAGTTGCTTAAGTAACTAATGAGACAGGACAAGAATCATTCCTGAATCTGCAGGATGAGCTGAAGCACTGCCAGGTCAGGTTGCCAGTAAGGGCAGGGAGTTCCACTTGTACCTGCTGCAGTAAAGTGCTTTCTGGTTACAAGTGGTTGTAAGCAGGCCTCTCTTTGACTACATCTAAGTTGCATTAGTGAATGGCATTGTCCAGGTCTGAAGGAGCCAGAGCCTGGGGAAGGTAAGAGAGGGGACATCTGGCTGGAAAACATCTTCCTGGCAGAATTGGGAGCAACTGGGAGCTGCTCCCATGCTTGGCAGGTCAGTTGTGGTCTCCAAAGGTGGGCCTGGCAGGAATGCTACTGTCCCAGGCAACTTTTCCTGCCAGGAAGAGCCAGGGAATGCTCTCTGCAGCAGGTGGCAGCAGATCAACCCTTACAAAACAGACATGAGGAATTTTGCAGTATCCAAAGCCCCCAGCACATTCCTATGGGGTATATTAGAGTAATCCAGTCTGTCAGCAAGGAAAAGCATAGGAGGTCTGAGGATGGTACCCTGACCACCAGGCACCTGGGTTTAGGCATGTCATCAGAGTGCCCCAAAAATACTGATTTTTCTCAGGGAGGCATCTGTGAAAGCCACCTCTGTCTTTTTCACTATCAGACTGATGCAATTACTGCCCAAGCATCCACACACAGTGATGGAAAGGGCCCATCACTCAGGTCTCTTCCAACTCCTCACTGCCAACCACTGAAATGTGCAGCAGTGTTACAGGAGAGCATTAACCTGTCTCAGCACTACTCTGAGTGATGTGTCCTGGTACCTGCTGATGACTCCTTCTCTCTTTCATTCCTTCCTCTTCCTTTCTCAGCGCTGCTCCCTTTTCTCTTGCTCCCCATTTGCAGCAGCTATTTCCAGCTTCCATATTCCCCAGCCCTTTGCCCAGAGGTTTCCATCTCTCCCCTTGATGGCACTGCTGGCAGGGATGTGGGCACAAGGACCCCTTCTTGTGCCCCTGGCAACACTCTCCCAGCCTGGGCTTTGTAGATAACGCTAATTTAAAATGTGATCCCCTCCCAAATCCTGTAGGTGGGACATAGCCTGTGGTGCTGCTGCCCTGTTACTGCAGGGAAAGCTCAGCCTGTATCTGTAGGCAGACACCAGGAAGCTGTGCTTGTTCTGCTTGTCTTTTGAACCAGAAATAAGCTCAGGACCAAGCCCTGCTGCAGGCTTTTCTCAGCTATGTTTGTTACCTGAAACACTGGGTTGCGCTTTGATAGTCAGGGCTTTTTGCAGGTTGGGGTCTGAGCAGAGCATCTGCCCACGATCTACAGGATTACCGTGTTCCTCTGCTGCTCTTCAAAGGCAGAAGACTACAAGTCCTCACTCTGCCCCCTCATGAATAATCTTCAAATATACATTTTTTTCCCTCAGTCAAAGGCTTATGAGTCTCAAATCCCCTCGCTCTCCCTCGAGGTCTCCTTTCTGAACAGAGGCCCACGGCAATGCTGCCGAGGTGTTTGAAAGTGCGCCAGCTCTCCTGGCTGTGATACCCACTGCTGATCCTGGAGCTGTCACCAGAGGGCTTAGTGGCACAGTCTAAGCATTAAAAACAATTAAAAGTGCAAAGGTGTTTAGTGTTGGCACTGTGAAGTACAGCAGCCATGCTCCCTTTTCCGAGCCTGTGCAACATGCTTTGCAGGGGTGCACTTTTGTCTGTGGAGCACCTCTTTCCCTCTTAACTGTGCTCCCAGAGAGCATTACCAGCCCTCCAGCACAGCTGCTCCAGTCCTGGGCCACTCTTTGATCCGTACTTCACACTGGTAGTGTTTTATCCACAACAGGCAAGGAGCAGAAAGGAGAGAGAAAAGGCTTCAAACAGTGTCTGAAGAACAACATCAGTGCCCTCCCCTTTTTCACCAGGGGAGGTCACAGGGTGGTAGGGATGGCGGGGCTGGGGGGTTGTACTAAAGAATATCACTGTCTTGCCGGAGCTCAGAAGTTGCTTTTTCCTGAGTGGGTTGGAGAAGGCCAAGTGGTGAAAAGCATAATGATGTTCCTTTCTGCAGAAACTCTCGCTGCAGACTCCTTCTGTAGATGGCATTTTTGCTGTCCCCGCCCCATCCCTCCCAGGATGGATATAACCACCTCAGGACAGAGATAAGACACGTATCTAACCCAGCATTCCCAGCTTTAATATATTCCATAAAGCAGCGTGTTTTCCCCTTTGTAGCCTTGGGGCTTTGGTGTGCATGACCACAGCTATCAAAGTGCCAGGTACTGGGGTTTTTGTTCACACCTTTTACTGCATGACTGGTTCCAAGGAGATGGGTGGAGTGCCATGAGATGAGAGGATGCAGGAGTGAAGTGCAGTCTTGGCCTTGCACACCGCTGTGCTTGTCTGTGTACACGTTAGAACAGGGAGGGACAGAGGAAGAAGAGATCAAACACTCTTGCCTGCCTGTTTATAGATTTTTTTCTCAACTTCCTATGCAGGAAAACCTTTTTTTACACGAAACCCTTCTGAGTTGAAAGGGAAGTTCATCCACACCAAGCTAAGGAAAAGCAGCAGGGGTTTTGGCTTCACCGTCGTTGGAGGGGATGAGCCGGATGAGTTTCTCCAAATCAAAAGTTTGGTGCTTGACGGCCCTGCAGCATTGGATGGCAAAATGGAAACAGGTACTGATGCTTTATATAAAAATCATCCCCACCATTTTGGTTTATCTTTATACAGCTGGGTTTATGCGCCTTTTGTAAAAGCCCTCTCCCCCTTCCTGGGGAGAGGCATTCAGCTTTCCCATCAGCAAGCCGGGAAGTGAGATACCCTGAGAGGGATATGTTCAAAATCTTAAGGCACTTAAGGTGTTGGAATTTCAGGTATCAAAATATCCAGCTGGGGCTCTGCCAGATGCTGCTCTCCCCTGAGGAGAGAAGCCAGTAGTTGTGGGGTCCCACGTCAGGCTATGGGTTACTGCTCCCCACTGTGGCAATGGATGATGGATGTTTTTAGGACTGCACCACTATGTGTTTGGGTTTCTGCCATGCTGCTTTCCCCTTTCCAAAGTTACTCCCAAGCAGTGGGCAGAATAGTGGGCTGTTTTGCATTTCCCTGTGTGGATGCAGCAAAGGCCAGTTTATTTTATGAGAGATCAGGCCCAGGATGATGGTTTAGTGGTGAAATATGAAATACGGTTTAGTGGTGAACACGGTGGTGCTGGGTTAATGGTTTGACTCGATCTCAGAGGTCTCTTCGATCTTGATTCTGTGGAATCTTCTTAGGATTCATCTGAGGTCACAACTCCTCACTTGCAGGTCAAGCATCCCAGCATTAAACATCCCTGTTTTGTAGCCCCAGTGTTAATAAAATGACTCATAACTTAATCGATACCTAGATTTCAGGCTGAATTATGAGACATGACATGTGGCACTGCATTTGAGCAGTTGGTATTTGAGAGCCTTCTGTTACAGCTCTCATGTGCTCTCAGTTTTGTTTCTATCATATGTCAGTGTAGCACAGTGTGAAACACTGAGAGCCGGACTTCAAAATAGCTGTTAAACGGGCCATATACTATCATCTGAATTCATCAATTTTTTAGGTGAGCCAATTCCATTTTCACTTTCAAAAATGTTTATGTACATAAAGGCTTTATGCAGTGAATCTGCTGTGTACGGGGAGTTCTTGCTCGCCCAAGTGTTGCCACTCTTTTTCCTCGTGCTGAAATGCCGCTGCTGCTGCCTGCGAGTGGCACCTGTGGATGCTGCAGATCTGCTCTCAGGCTCTAGTCCTCACCTTCCCAGGGTGCACAAAATATATGTGTTTGTGTATCTGTTTGTGTCCTCTGCAGGGGACGTCATAGTCAGCGTGAACGACACCTGTGTGCTGGGGCACACTCATGCCCAAGTGGTGAAAATCTTCCAGTCCATCCCCATCGGTGCCAGCGTGGACCTCGAACTGTGCCGGGGGTACCCCCTGCCCTTCGACCCCGACGATCCCAACACGAGCCTGGTCACGTCCGTGGCGATTTTGGACAAAGAACCGATCATTGTGAACGGGCAGGAAAATTATGACTCCCCAGCGAGCCACAGTAGTAAAACAGGGAAAGTAAATGGCACAAAGGAGGCGAGACCCAGCAGCCCGGCTGAGGTCTCCTCCAATGGACCCCATGGGTACCCCAATGACACGGTCTCTTTGGCGTCTTCGATAGCAACACAACCTGAACTCATAACTGTGCACATAGTGAAAGGGCCCATGGGCTTTGGGTTCACTATAGCAGACAGTCCCGGTGGGGGCGGCCAAAGAGTGAAACAAATCGTGGACAGCCCGAGGTGCCGCGGCTTGAAGGAGGGCGACCTCATAGTCGAAGTCAACAAGAAGAATGTGCAGAGCCTCACTCACAACCAGGTGGTGGATATGCTGATTGAATGTCCTAAGGGAAGCGAAGTCACGTTGCTGGTGCAGCGAGGAGGTAAGTCTTCGAAACTGCTTTAAAAGAATTGCTTCTTGAAATTTAAAAAAGAAAAAAAAAAGGCATGTCATGAAAGATGTGTTCTGTTCTCCTAAGCCTCTCTGGGGAAAATGGTTTTTGTCCTAAGGTGTAGGAACTGCCCCAAGCTGGCAGTTGTCAGGTCACATAGGTGGTTAAAATTATTTATTGTGTGATGCTGCACGGGGGGGGATGCTCAGGTTCCCATGGGCACAGGTGCTGCACACATCCTCTGGGAATGGGCTGAAGGGTGCTGTGGTTACACACGTGTGCCTACACCTTTGCTTACATAACAAACCCTGGTCTCATGCTTGTAAAACTTGAGTGTTTTAAATAGAGCATGGACATTTCTTGAGCTGTTCTGGGCGATGGAAAAGGCTGGTGATATGTCCTGTAATCTGCAGCGTTCAAAATCAGATACTCAATCACTCTTCACTGGGAAAGGGTTACACCTGGGATACAGCTGGGAGTGTAGGAGAGAATTTAAACTTCTCCAGGTTGTAAGCAATTGCAGTGTTACTTTTGGACACATTTCTTTGCTGTGCACTTGGGACCTCTGCTCATTTTTGGTTGCATTGCTGAGGCCACGAGCAAGTACAAAACCCATCCCCCAGGCAGTGTGTCTGCAGCCCTCGTGGAGTGTGGAAGGCAGGTAGCCTGTCAGTGATCAGTCCATCCATAGGAACTCTTCTTTCCCTACACATAGTACGTGTAAAGTAACCAGAGGAAGCACCCCCAGCCTCTCATAGCACACTTTTATCCTGTGGATTAAGATTCTTGGAATAGGGTCAAGCTCACAGGGAAACTCCCTCCCTCTGCTCTGGCATTGTCACTGGGGATCTCAGAGGGACAAACTCTGGCCTCACTGTCCCATGCAGTGGTTTTTATGGAAGATGCACACATTGCCTCACAGGGATGAGCAAAGTTAAGCTGACGATTAGGTGCTGGACACAGCCTCTAGCCAGCTCTGGGAGGAGTGTGTGCAGTAAAAGTACTTTTCTGATGACTTTAGTCTAAAGTATTTTGATTGTAGTAAGTAAGAAACAAAAGCCAGCCCGTTTTAGCGGGAGACAAGTTGCTTCCTGAATTTACCAGTTGGGTTTGCTGTTTTCAAAGACCTGCTTTAAGGCATTGAAGACATTGGTTCTGCAATTAATAGCTGTGGATAACGCACTGCCTTTCCTATATTCCTTCCTTTCCGAGTACTTACTGTGTTTTTGTATTTTGATAGTAAATTAAAAAGTAGAGAACAGAATATATTAAGAATTCTCCAATTTTCAAAGTGTGAGTTCCTTAAAGACTTTCAGTACTGGAGAGATTTAAAAAATGCTCTGCGTTCTCATGATTAATATATGCATTATGGAGAAAATATGGTTGGAAGAAAAATAGCAGCTATTATTAATCCTCCTGGAGAGTGCACATATATCTGGTAACACCATACATTAATTATTTGAATTGTGCCTGACATTTAATAATCCTCCTTTTGCCTTGAAGGCATAATGAAAAGATTTGATGAGGAAATAAAAGCATAGTTTTAATAAAATAGTAAATAGCTCCCTGGTAATCTTGTTGAATCTCCTTTTTAAAAAAAAATTAATTGAGGTACTAACCACATGTCGAGCATGGGCAATCACCTTCCTTAGGCAGGTACCATATCAGTCTCCTTGAACTGCCTCCCTCACTGCTTCAAGGTCCTGACATTTCCATCTCAGCACAGAGCACCTGCAGTTTCAAATTTCACACTCTCATGGTACAGGACTCAGAGACTGGGATGGGCCTGGACCCACAGTTAATCACTGAAACAGGTTTCTCTTCACATCCAGAGGAAAGCTGGACCAAAAGGCTCTCAGGCTGTGGCAGAGAAGCCAAGCAGAGTAAGGGCAGTAGTAGAACAGAAAGCAAGCAGGTTTGTTTAAAGCTTGTAAGACAATGCTGGTGGATGAGAGGCTGGACGTGCCCTGGCCGTGCGTGCTGGCAGACCAGAAACCACCCATGTCCTGGGCTGCTCCAAAGCAGCAACTGAGGGAGTGGATTCTGCCCCTCTTCTCTGCCCACCTGCAGTGCTGCATCCAACACTGGGAGCCCCAGCACTGGAAGAACATGGATCTGTTTGAGAAAGTCCAGAGGAGGCCACAAAGATGGTTAGAGGGATGGAGCACCTCTCCTATAGAGTTGGGATTGTTCAACATGGAGAAGAGAAGGATTCAGGGAGACCCTGTAGCACCTTCTAGTACCTGAAGGGGCTACAAAATGGCTGGAGAGGGACTTTTTACAAGGGCATGTGGTGATAGAATAAGGACAATTGGCTTTAAACTGAAAGTGAATAGGTTTAGATTAGATATTAGGAATAAATCCTTGACCGTGATAGTGGTGAGGCCCTGGCACAGGTTGCCCAGAGAAACTGTGGCTTCCCCATCCCTGAATCTGTTCAGGGCCACATTGGATGCAGCTCTGAGCAACCTGGTCTAGTGGAAGGTTGTCTGTGCCCACACCAGGGACATTGGAACTAGATGGTCTCTAAATTCCCTTCAACCTAAACTATTCTGTCATTCTATGAAAAAAAAAAAAAAAAAGATGGGACTGGCTAAAATCACCCAGCACTCAGTGCTGCTGCTCTTGGGTCCTTTCTCCCATAACTTGACCTCGTGTTACCCCTGCCAAGTCTTTTATCAGCAGTACCATCCCCAGACAAGGTGCCGCTATTTATTTTGGTCCCATGGCAGAAATGTGCTTGGCTTGAGTGTCTGATGAGCTCCTTCGGGGCTCTCAAAGCAGTTCTTTAGCTTTCTTGTCACTTGTCCTTTCCTCCTCCTCCCTCTGGTGTCCAGTGAGGAAAGTGCTCAGCTGCTGTCAGCATCCTGACTTCAGCCCAGCATTTGCATTCAGTCCCGCTGAGCAGGAAGCATCCCTGCAACACTAAGGCTGGTGTTCAGAGCTGTTGAAATGATTTTCAGAAGTGATTACTAATCAGGCAGAAAAATACCAGGAAAAAATGTATAATATACAGGAAAAGCTCTGCCTGCTTCAGGCTGCTGGTGCACTCCCAACAAGGAGGTGTAATTGTTAAAATGCAAACCCAGAGCTGCTGAGAGCAGTGTGTAAAATATTTACTGTGAAGTGTGTTCATCTGAAGAGCTGTCTTATGGGAGTGGGAGAATCCTGACACTGCCTCAGAGTGAGGAACAGAAGGATGATTTCAGGAGGGATGAAGCTGAAATGCTCCCTCTGTGTGCTCGGTTGCTCACATGTCATCTGAAATGGTTTGCAGGACTCATGCAGGGTTGGGTCAAAGGGATAAATACTTTAATACAAAGTCATGCCACTGAGATTTTGCTTTCCAGAGGCCCCATGGAAAACTTACCTCGTCTATGTTCTGGTTTGATTTTTTATTTTCCCATCCCTCCTCTCCTCTGTAGGATTAATTTTATTATTGCTATTGCTTTCTTGTTCCACCTGCATATAGTGCAGGATAAAACTCACTGAGTGTATCCTGAGGGTTTCAGGAAGGGTGAATGCTGAGTAGAGTCAGGGTGCAGAGGGCTAATTGGGCTGGATGCAAGAGCAGGTCAGCAAAGCTGCTTTTGCTTAGCCAAATAAAGTGACAGAGGGGACAGAATAATTATTGTTTCTATTAGGAGGGAGAGATAGAAGATACTTAAACACAAGAGCTGGCTGAAGAACAACTGTGTGTTGTTTGGCTATGAGTAATTTAAACTGGAAATGAGAAGAAAGCGCCAGGCCATTAGGGCTTGTAAGTCAAACTGGAGGAGGCACAAAAGCTTTGCTGTCTGAAGGTGAAGCTCAGCATGTTTGAAGGGGATAGGACATGGTGCCTGCAACAGCAGAGGAGATCCTTGATAACCCAGCAGGACCCTTCAAGGACTGTGTACCTCAAAGTAAACCAGTGCTACTCGCTACAAAATGCAGAATTAAGGATATGTTTTTGTCCCTGCTCTGGAAAATGTGATTACACATTTTGGTTATTTTAAAGAACTGCTGTTAATAAGGCTACAAAAGGCACAACTTTATTTTGAATGTTTGTAGCTGAAAAGGTTCTTTTAAACTTGTAATTACAAAGTACATAAAGTACTTTTCACCAAAAAAAAAAAAAAAGGCAGAAAAGGAATGTAATATTATTTGCCACTTGAAATCCATTTGTCATTGAATCCTTGTCTATGCACAGTAATCAACTGAAATAAGCAACTCTCAAATATCTCTCCATTCTGCATGGATTCTATTCATAATAAAAGCAAAATGTCATCAGAATAATTTCCCTGCTCCCTAAGGGACTTTTATTCTGGAAGTTGTGTCTATTTTGGGGCAGGTGGGGGGGGCTGCTTCAGTACAAGTTATTCAGCAAAACTACTGAGCTGTATTTTTTTGAGTCACTGAGATCTAACATTTGTTTCAGTGAAAACATTTGTTGCATCTTTATTCACTTGAAGGTCAAAAATAGCATAAACCTTGAGCCTGATCTACATAACCCCCTGGAAGATGTGTTCCAGCTTTGCTCCAGATCAAAGTAAAGGCACGCAGGTGAAATGTCACTCACATGCCATGTGCAAATCAGTGGCATTTCTAATAGCTTTCCCTACTGCCAAATTCACATTAGACTGGGGAATGGAAATACACTGTGTGAAAAAGAAAACATACTAGAGTTTCATAACTAAATTTATTCTATGGGAAGAATAATCAATGTAATATCAGCCTGTCTAAGTGCTTATGAGTGGGCACCTGAGTCTTGCCTTCATGTAAAAGTCCATAGTAAATTCCTTGTTTATGATTCAATGGAATGGAAGGTGTTTGTGGGGAGTAATGAGGTGCATGGAAGTGGGGAGGGATCTGTGCCCACTGTCCTGCTCAGTTGGTCCTTGACTCAGTGGGCTTAAGAAGGTCTTTGTGACTCGTAACTACAATAAGAATTTTCAGCAATGGAACAAAATTACAAAGCTCTAAAGCAATAAACCTATCAGGTCTGCTTA